CGCTATGCGACTAATTAAGCTTTCAAATATACGTAACGTCCATGAGTCCTAGAGGGGATGAGCTAATAGCTAGCTCTCAATAGTAGCTCACAAGAGCCCTGTGCTAGTCTGTCGTGTTTTTGACACGTTTTTTTTTGTCTACATCTTCAAGTTGCAACTGTTGCCACGGGCTCAGGAAAATAAAAACCCAGAGAGAGAGAAGATGAAAGGATAAAATAGTTTATTTTATAGTCTCATAGTAAAGGTAGGCCTCAACTTGCAAGACAATTGTTGGCAGTATGTACAACATACTTGTAATTTCCATGGAATGGAATCGGACAAACAAAGACCTATCACACTAATTATTACATCCTCCTAATTGGAAATCAAATGGAAACAATATCGTACAAACACACACATTTCCTAGGACACGCAAAAATGTTTCTGCCCGCAGTGGGGGTCGGGGTGGGATCAGCAACATCGATTTTTCTTTTTATTTATTTTGGGTTGTTTTTTTTTAAATAATTTGTGTAAAGCACAACACACTGACTGGTGAGGGTGGAGGGGGAACTGGTGTATTTTATAAACATTCAATATCTAGTTCATATTCCCAGGTAAAAACTACACGTGACAAAAATTGTTTTAACCGCCCCCCGATGACTGTTTAAGTAACTACAAAAAACAGCATAACAGTTTAGAACTTGAAAACATCCAATCATTGTTTATATTCTTGCCATATAATAATAATATAAAAGGGTATGCTAATGTATTCAGCCACCTAAAGTCATTCACTACTTCAAGCTAAGGGACAAAATACAATACGAACTTTAGGCAATAATTTCTTTCAAAAACATCGATTTCAACAAAAGGAGTCACATTATTTCTTTTACTTCCTCTTTCTTTTAAATCCTGTGGTAACAAAGGTGTCGGTCAGAAAACAACTGCATTCCCGTGGGCCTGAGGTGGGTTTCACCTGAACATTTCACATTCTTTACGTGAAAACAAAGTTGTCTAGAAATCTTTTTTTTATTTAAAAAAGGTAAACGTTTCCATCTAGGTGTGTGTGTGTGTATGTTTCAATTCTATTCATGAAAATGCACAAAAATAAGAAATATAATAATATTATAGCAGTGCTTGGAGGAGTACGCCTAGTGCGCCCTCTTCTGGTCATCACAGACAGAAGGAGAAGGTGGAGTAGGAGGAGCTTAACTGAGGGTACAAAAACAAGTATCAAGTCTTAACGACGCCAAGCTGCCTCTTTTTTTGGGTTTTGAATGTGGGTGGAGGAGGGAGACCATCCATAAAAAAAAACAAAACGGAGGGACAGAAGGAGGAACCTGAAGTGTCTCTAATGTAACTGAAGCAGTCGGCCTCCACCTGCAGCCTCCACCCTACAGTTCTTCAGACCCTGGGTGAAGGAGCAGAGAGGGTTGTGTTGGTGGTGGGGCCATGACTCTCCGGTGCGAAACCATCCACGGAGAACGAGGCCGTGGGAGGTGTTGGTGGTGGTTGGCTGGAGAGGTGGAGGACTTGGACCGAGCCTCAGAACTTCTTAAAGGCTGTACTTCTCCTCTCGCCCTCCCTTGTGCTCCGACGCCTCGACCTTGGCCAGTATTTTTTTTGTTTTGTTTTTGTTTTTTTTCTTTCAACCTGCACCTCTCTGTTTCTAGCTCGCCTCCATGCGCAGCTTCTTCCTGTTTGGAGGCTCCTCCACCTCCGACTCAGAGCTGGAGTCGGAGCCCCCGTCAAAGGCAGACACGGCGCTGCCTTTGGGGTTGGTGTACAGGCTGCTGTCAGATGAGGAGTAGTTGGCCTGGAGCTGGGTGGAGCCCTTCACCTTCTCCAGAGCACGGACTGTGGGGGGAGCGGGGGGAGGCAGACGAAACAAGAACTCAAAGTGATGAAAGTCCAAAAAACAAAGGTTCAAATAAGTCAACGATATCTGGCTGTGGGTTCTGAAAAACTCCAGACCCACAATTGTTGTTGCCTCTCTGGTTAGCTTGCTAACGCAGCATCACTGTTGTCTTTTACCGACGACTAACGTGTGTTGGTTTTCAAGGCTGGATCAGCAGGTTCTTCCTTCATAAATGTTTACACTGTCAGACAAATAAAGCGTGAGTGTATTTGGGATTCTTTGTTCTTTTTTTTCCCCTTAGCCAATAACTGGCAGCTGCTGCAGGTCAAAGGTCATCACCTTAAGGGGAAAATAAATAAACCAACTGTCTGAGGCTGCGTTTTCAGTTTGGTTACAGATTTATAACAAAACAACAAACGGTAGGAGGAGCCGACTGTGTAACCAGGCCTGAAGCTCTGTGTGTGTGTGTGTGTGTGTGTGTGTGTGTGTGTGTGTGTGTGTGTGTGTGTGTGTGCGTGGTTACCTTGCTGCTCCAGCAGTGCGTTCTGTCTCTTCAGGTCGTCGATGTCCTGCTGGTGTGTCTGGTTTTTCCGCCTCATGTACTGGATGTACTCTGTGGCTTTGTCTAGGATTTGGGCTCGAGACGCCTGTTTGGTAGACTGCTGTTAGTGACACATGCAAAGATTGAAGCCTTGACGCCAGTTCACAGGGTTCCTTATCACATTTACTGACACACAGACACATTCACGCCACACACACACACCGTTTTAGGCTTTAACCCCACCCTACTCCAGGGTTCAGGTCGCGACCCTGACCTAGCACTGACGGAGTGATCAACCTCAGGTCACGTCAAACCGAAGTGCTGCGATCAACGGACTTCAAATCTGCTCTGTAGCTGACAACGTTCTACGCCAGAACCACGGAACTACTGTCTGATCATTGGACGAGACTCAGAAATCTGTCTGCTGATTTGTGGACACAACCAGAAAGGAAACCAGGTGGAAAACACCAGGTGAGTTTGGTTACCTTAAACCAATACTGTACTTCTGCCCGGCCCAGTCATATTTACATAGAACACTCAGGAGGATCATCGACCATCGACAGACCCACAGGTACAGACGGGTTCTAAAAGGTTGGTCTGGGACGAAGCTAGCTAACGCTGCCGTCTCGGAGCGCGGAGGTCAGAGACCGACGTGACTGTAACCCAACACTTCACTACGAGTGTGTGTGTGTGTGAGAGAGAGAGAGAGCAGAGTTGGTTCTTGTCTCTGCTCCCGACACACTCCGAGTCCCGGATGTCAAAACAGGAAGAGAGCGGCGACGTGAAAATGCTCTCATAATGACTTCCTGTCACCGCTCCTCAGTCTTTAGATCACGCCAGTGTCTGGTTTCTGCCAATCTCAGCTCCTCCACCGTCTGTCTGCCCCCCCACCCCCCCTCCCCCCTCATCCCTGTTCAACCATTCACTTCCAAACACACACACAAACATGTTACAGAGGAGACAGCAGAGAAAATTCATTTTTAACAACAACAACAACAACAACAGCAACAACAGCAACAACAACTCTCAAGGCTGTGATCAACATTTACACCAGTGGTTCCCAAAGGGGGGGGGGGGGGTCTTATTTGTTGGGAAAATAATTTACAGTAATCAGTCATTTGTATTTTGTTTTCCCATCGAAAAAACAGCAGATTTCTAAGTGATTGTGTCAAGAGTGGAACAACTGTTCTGTACAAAAGGGGGCGCTGTAGTAAAAGTTTGGGAACCACTGACTTACATGGTGTTTGGGTGTGTGTGTGTGTGTGTTTTGGGACAACTATAGCTTTGGAATACCTGTATTGTGTCAACACTTTGTCCCTGTGAGGACACCTGCTGGTGAGATTTAGTTTGGATTATGATCAGAGCATCAGGGTCAGATTAGGTCAGGATTAAGATGAGGATGAATTATACATTTGAAAAAGTGAAGTTTAGGGCGAGGTAATAAAGGCAACATCCAGATGTTAAGGGTGTGTGTGTGTGTGTGTGTGTGAGTGTGTTTGTGTGTGTGTGTGTGTGAGTGCGGAACTTACTGTCAGAGCTTTACCAACCTTTTCTCCCTGCAGGGAGGGCACCGAGTCGCGGAGGCTGTGAAAGCTGTCTTTGATGTGGTCCCTACGTTTGCGCTCCAGTGCGTTGTGGTGTGCACGTTTGTCTGCCTGCAAAGACAGAGAGTCACAGACGACCTTCAGCCTCTGGGCAGCACAGTGGCATGGGTCAAAGACAGTAGGGGGCGCTCCAGTAGGGGTGGAAGCTACAGTCTGGCCTCGTCATAAGCGACTAACGCGACGTTATTCACCAAACAGTGGGAGGTGAACGAGCACCGACTCCAACAACTGCTGTCGTTCAGGTGTGAAAGAGACTCACACGAAGGAGGTCGTGGGTTCTACTGGGTTTCAGACAAGAGTGGAACCACAGGCTAACTGTTACCGATTAATTCAACGTTTACATTTTCAACAGAGGACGTTGAGAAAAAAAAACAGTCCCGACAACAGAGTCTACGTCGTGAACCAGCACCAAGTCTTACGACAGAGTCAAAGAGAATCCAGAACCTGAAGAGCTGCTCCGAGGTGACGTTTGAGTTTGCAGTTAAAATGTATTAGAGACAATGAGGAATTATTGAAACCAGAGATCTCAAACTCACAGCCAGGGGGCAGCCTGCGAAAGACTTTTATAGATGAACAAACATGAATAGAAATCCAATACTAAACCAATATTTAAAATCATTATAAACTTTAAAACCGTAAATCAATAAACTGTGATAAATATTACAGGGAAATAAACCTTTATAATATATACATATATTGTATACTCCTAAAGGTTCAAGTGTAGCCGTGTTCTGTTTCCTACAGGGTTCAAAGCGCGACAGGTTCCTGAACCGAGACGCTGCCGTGTTGCTGTGGAACCAAAACCCAAACCTAAGCACATTCCTGGGTTCAACAGTGAGCGTCAGGTTTCACTCTCAGCCAGGAGTGAGAGGGAGAATGAATCATAACGTCAGGACGTGGACGAGTGACGCCGACTGTCAATGTGTCACTGTTTAACTGCGTCAACAGCTGCATAACCGTCCGCCCCCAGGGTCAATAGTAGTTTTTGTTTTTAACTGTGACTCAAACAAATGCTGAATATTTGGTCGATTTTTCTTTTTCTGGTTTTCTTCATCATCCGAACACTTCCTGCCTGGGTCAAAGTCACGGTTCATTTCAAACATCTGTTTCCATCTAAACACCTCAGACTGTAAAGACGGCCACGGTGATCACATGACCAGAGGCCGACAGGATGAACGTCGGTGACCAGGAGCCACCAGAGAACTGACACATCATCACGTGGACCACAACAGACACCACACAGCAGACCAGACTCGGGTCTGAACAAGTCTTTGGTGTGTCACAGGAATCAGGAGGAAGAGACTGTGACTCAGCCGAGGACTTTTACAACGTACAAAAAAACAAACAAACACGTAGCTGAAGAGTCCGACAGGTCGGACTAGCCGAGTATTTAAGTGACCATAAATCGACATGTTTTTCAAATGCATGACTTTCACGTATCATATAGACGTGTTTTACAAATGCATGACTTTCACGTATCATATAAATGTGTTTTACAAATGCATGACTTTCACATATATATATTTTGTATTACAGATATACCTGACATATATTACATATATACCTATAAACACACACATATGTATATATGCAAATATACATGTGTACATACATAAATATATACACATATGTATACACATGTATATATGTATATATATATACATATATACACATATATACACAGATATATTTTTCCACAGCAGGGTTTATAACAAAATTCTACATTAATGTATTAATGTTGTACAACACGTTTTTTATTTTTGAAATTTAGGGCTTATTATTGTATCAACCTAAAATCTTAACACAATATTTTTTTCTAGAAAACATTATTGTAACTAACCAAAAATATCCTGTGAATTTAATGAAATTCAACAGCAGGCGTTGCTCTGTAGCACCAGATTGACAAAGTATGACGAGTGCTATTTCAATGAAACCTCCTCCTCGTGTTACCCACGATGCCTCTCTTCTGATTATTCTGCTGCCATGGCGACAGCAGCTCCCGAGGCTTGTTGCACAAAAACCACAGGAGACAAAACTCCACCTGGACCAGGAGAGAATCCTCACATCACACAAACAACCAAAGAGACGCGGCGCCGCACCTCCTCCATCGGCCATGACGGTAACATCAACCACACTGGAGCGTCCATGTTAGCATCCCTGCTAACATCTACTTCTTACAGAAATGTGTACCACTGGAGCTGACTCGGAGGCTTTTAAACAAACTTGTTTACAAATGTTTTCCTCATTTACTGATGACTTCAGATGAATTCAAACAACAGTAGATTAGAAGAAGTGGACTGAGACTTTACTGGAACCACACGAGTCCATGGTCCTGAACTGGGTTTTTTTGGCTATGTGTGGGAAAGGGTCAAAAAGTTTTAAGACATGTCCATGTGGTATGTGTCAGACGTTGTCAGATTGTGATCAGTCAGACATGTTGACACAGATCTCTCAGACTTCTCCAACAGCTTTGACAAGTTTCATCGTCTTTATCTCTGGTGCGGAGCCGCGGCGCCTTTAATGTGATCAGGTTTTTCATCACAATAACAAATCAGCTCCTGAGCTAAGAATGTTGAAGGCTACATTAAATCTCAAATCTTGTGGTTAGCTAGCAAAAAACTTAAAAAACATCTTCTCTTTAGTTCCAGTCAAACTAACAGACTCTCAGATACTGTATATCTACACACAACAGCTGATGTCTCCCTCTACTTCTACAACACAGTTGTACCCACTCTGAGTACTCCATACTTTACTCCTATGGTCAAATTCAAAAGAGTCAAAATGTATCTGAGATACATTGGTTTAATCCTGTGGGAACTTTAAACAGGGCCCTTGTCCATTTTATCTAACAGAATCCTAAAAACGGTTGAGGAGGAACATTACTGTTTTACCCACACCACTGAAGCCCATTTTGTTTTGTGCTGCATTTTTGTCTGGATTTGAATACCACAAGTCATTCAAATGGACTTGGAATAAAATTTCCAGGGATCGACAGAAGGCTGCTCTGAAGTCAAATTTTTGTTGTCCGTTGAAGAACAACACTAAAAAACTAAAATTACTCCATTTTTAATCACCTGTACAATTTAAGAAAAAAAGACCTCCAAGAACATTTCACATCAGTCAGTGAAGATACCGTATCTTGCTGCTGTTGACTTGCTGACTACAAAGACACACACGGTATTCTTTCCTGTACATTTCCTGGTAATTATTTTGCCATTGCACAATGTGCAACTTCCTTTTGAAGGAGCTGTCTTAAATAACTGAAGTTTACACCAGACTGGGTTTGTCCACTAAATATTCTCCCCTCAGTCAGAGGGATCACTGCCAGGGTGGAGAACAACATGAAACTGTTCACCTCTGAAAAACTCGTTCTGAGGACAGATTTTGAAGAAAGAAAATGGAGTGCAGACATTTTCATCCATTTTGACAACTGCACACTGAACGCAGGGACAGAGACCACTGACACTTGGTCAATGGTTTTGTCTGTAGTCTTTTAACTGTATTTCTCCCCTGGTCGTTTACAGTGACCTTATTGGAATGCACTGAACTAGTTCTACAACATATGACGTCATTTTCTGCGACCAGCTGCAAATGTTCCAGGGACATGGAACTGTCAGTCTGCAGTACGAGCAATTCAGCGGTTTTCCTTTTTTGCAGCTTTTAAAAGAAAAATACAATTTAAGAATGAATTGAATGCAAATGCTTGTCGATTTGGATTCTTTTTGGTTAGCCTAGGTTGTGCATTCTCTTAGGTGTCCTTGAGTGACAGAGACGCCTGTGAAATAAAATATTATTATAAAATATGCACAGAGGTGGTTGAAAATTTCTAGAGATTCAAGTCATGGTCCAATGAATGAAAACCCAGTGACTGACGGTTAACTACAGACTGGTGCAAGCCACAATTCAAAGCCAAAGTCTTGAGGTCCGTTAGAGGACACCAGCCTTAAACGCCATTCTCTAAGCCTAATGCGACTCATGCACATTTTTAAGAAACTCTGCAGATGGAATATAAAATTGCTGAGAATTTAAATTCCGTGGCAGGATTCACATCCCGCAGCCCTGCGTGCTAGAAGCACGTAGAGCACGGTGTGCTTTTCTCGACCGTGCGCGATGCAGCCATACGTCATTCATTTAGAAGTGCCAGTGGCCTGGAGAGAGAAGATGGCTCTAATCACTGGCTGCAACACAGGAAAACATCCCGCAGCTCCCTCTTCCTGACACGAAGCCTTGACCAGGAGAGATGCAGGCGCGGCCGCCGCTCCTCCGCGCAGCCGACAGCAACGACAGCTTCCTCCAACTCTCCTGCTGCTGCTGCTGCTCGGCGTGCGTACAGGCTGCACGAATTTAAAGAGCTTGTCTCTTTCTCTTTAACGGGAATGACCTAAATGTGTTAATTTGAACAACCACGAGCAGGAATCCCCGGGATGTGGAGCAGAAAGGCTGTTGAAGCAGCGGTGGGGACGAGGAGAAGCCACCAACGGCCACGGTTCGTGGCCCTGTTTTTTTTTCAAATTTTTTTTTTAGAGATTTATACAATAATTAAAATTTCCAACCCGAAACAACAGCATCAAAAAGCTCCTGTGACGGGATCAGGTCTGAGTCTAAATATAGATGTCGTGTCACCGTCTCCCTATGGCCGCGTACGCACTATATGAGGGGGGATATCCTGCAATGCACTGCCGCAGACGCAATCATCGCACGATTGCGAGAGAAATTCGTAAAAATCGACAAGTAAACATAACGGGAAGTTTCGTGTAAAACGATTAATTTTTAACCAGAGGACTGCACATTTACTTTCCCTCATTAACGACCCCGAGACACTGAATTCAATGATAGCAGCACAGCATTACAAGCAGAGAGTGGTGGATAAATATTAGCTTTGTGGACATGTGTGACACAATTTAACACATTGGCCAAAACCCAGAGCAGCATTACGCACCACAGAGTGATATCTCGGCGATTCTTCCTGCAAAAGAGACAGAACAAAAAAGTACAATTGTAGCCTCAATCGTTCGGCAAATCACACTGTTTCGCTGAAAGTCAAACAAATTGGTAGCTTAGCAAATTTTAAAAGGAAAAACACGATATGATGTTCATGTAAATTAATTATAAGCCACCTCCGACGTAAATACTACTGAGAAGGCAGAGCTAACCAGTGGCTAACGTTAGCTGAGCGGCTAAAAATCGACAGCTAACCAAACATAAAATATAAAAAAACAACGCTAAAGCGTAGAAGTCGCTGTACTTACATCACTATCGACTTCGATGTCATCGTTATCGCTCATTCTTCGACAAAATGGTGTAAAGTAAATGAGACGGGAGGCTAAAAAAACAACATGAAGCGCAGATCCAGCACACACACTCACGCAAACACTAACAGCTTCAATTCTGTTTGGACTGAACAGAGCAGCGCCTACACGTGACTGCGCTCCGAACACACCAGCCTTCCGCGGCGGAGCGCGCATGTGCCCAAGCCCAAGGGATTATGGGAAATCTATCGGCTAACGCTTAACTTTCCTCTCGTTTGACTTCAATAGAGAACGTTTCAACCTTATAGACGGTGAAATTTATAATCCCAAAGAATCACAGTCAAATATTACACTAACGAATGCATAGTAAACATTTGAAATGTTTTAATAATAAACGATTGCTCATCTAAGAAACTACAAAATCCAGAAGCAACGTACCGTACCCGTGACGTTCCTGCGACGCGCCCCCTAAAATGCCTGCTGGGAAGTGTAGTTTTAAGCGTGTTTGTATGTCACCGCAGCTAAATAGGGCCATGGCTGAGACACGTGGATTTTAAGAACACGCTCAGTAGGACACACAGACTCGGCTCAAGTTACAGCAACAGCAGCATGAACACAAATATGCAGCAGTCAGGTGGCAGAACACTCTGCTGCTTCACAGTAACAATACAGGGGTTTTTTATTTCCTTCGTTAACCGTCATTTTAATAGCTGTTAGCTGAATTTCAGCAAATAAAAAAAAAAATTAAAACAGTAGCAATAAGATACTAAAATAAGACGATATACATAAAATAAAACTACAAGTTTGCTAAAGTAATGTAGAAAATATCAAAATAAAAAAACTACAAAAGTAAAAAAAACAGTGCTACAGTTTTGATTTTGAAAAAAAAGATACAATTTTTATTAAAATGATTATATAAAATTATTAAAACAATCTAAGGGAACATAAAACATGTTCAAATGTCATCAAATCTGTAGATTGTTATATTTTATAGACCATGTATTTCATTTACATCTTTAACTTGGTGACTTACTTCCTCTGCATATAAATAAAATAATAGTTTTTTTTGTTGTTGTATAAAACTGAATAAAAACTTGACATTTTATGATGCAAAACTGGACAACCAGTTTCCCCCCAGCATAGACCCAGTTAAAACCAGTCCATCAAAACTATCCCACTGGTGGGTTTTGTAGTGTGGGGGGTGGTCACAGAACAAATTGTAATTAATCTGCGGTGGTGCTTCCTTTCCCCCCATAAATCATGCTGTAGATAAGCAGCTTACACTTTGTGGATTATTTTGCACTGCAACACTGGAGCAGCCAACATATAAGAAAACAAGCTGAGCGAAGCCTCAACAGTTTCCCCCAGCGGGTCAAGAGGCCACAGCAGCTGCAGGCGACACCCTGACCTCCTCGGTTTTAGACCTGCACCGACCATCATCCTACATGACTGAGCCTCACTACCTTCAAAAGACTGTATCTGTATCATCTATAAACCCTTTTGTTCCTCCGTTCAAAACTCAGCCTGTGTCTTCTCTCCCACACCTACTGTTTTTTAACAAGTGACACAAAACATCCCACATCAAACAGTGTTTGTCCTGCAGCCACAGAGCCAAACAGGGTCACCCAGAAATATGGTCGGTAACCGTATAGCCTACTTAAAGGCTCACAACACAATAAGGCCCGGCCTAAATAATGCATCTGCTGCAGTGAAGCCTTCCTGTCTTCATGGATGACAGTAAAAAGGCATTTCAATCTTGTGTGTTTGCTCACATTCAAATCAACCCAGGGGAAGAGCAGCCTTACAGAACATCTATGGTAATAAGGCAGGGCGCGTTGCAGAAACTGATATTTTTTTCTCTCCTCCACCTCAGGCCCCGGGGCTCAAGTTATGGAGTGTTTTTCGTGCTGTTCCAGACCGCGATGTTCAGACTGGAGGGGAGGCATCAACACTGATTAAGCTGTGGTTGGGTATACAGAAGTAAAAAACGAAAGAAAAATGTGGTTAAAACAAATCAGTCATGTGGAGCTGAAATTACACTTAGCAGTGAAGGCTGATTTCTCCCTCCCCTCCCCCCTCTGTCATTACAGGGCCAGCCTGTTAAACCATTAATGTGCCCCTCCTTTTGTCCCTTTGCAGCATACTGCAGACCACTGCGAGGCCCCCAGTACACAGCCACCATAAGACCGTGTTGTTTCGATCTTGTCCTTGTTGTTGATGCACGACTTATGAAAGGGAAGGAGGGCAGTGTGTTTACAGGCAGATATGAAGGGTAATCTAGTTTCACTTTGACAGCGACAGGGTTTCACGGAAACCATAAACGACATGTGATGACATCTGGTCACAAGAGTGAAGCCTTGAAGATAAGCTTTTAATTTGAACCGTTATTCCCTTTTATAATTGTTGATCCTGTTTAAAGGACATTTTACAATACAGCACATCTGGAAAATTGAAAGAAAAAAGGAAGTGCCTTCAAATATTTTTAGGGTGTGTTCACACTTGTTAGGTTTGACTAAACCCAAAAAACAAAATAAACTGAGCAGCAAACCTGGAAAATAACTACAAATGTGGAGGTCATCCAGAACGTCTAAGGATCCCAGACTTAAGTTCCAAAACAAACACAAACTGTCATTCTGTGCCAACTTTAAAAGGCAAACAACAAATGTGAACATCACGCAAAAAGAGAGGCTAAAGTACAGGGAACCCAAAAAGGACTTTGACCAGAAATAGTTTAAATTTAAACAAAATAGTTGTAAATTTAAAAAGAAAGTAAAAATTGACACAAGAACACAAAAACCCTGGTGTGGAAGGAAAAAAAAAAAAAAAAAAGTTGACCCCTGAGGTCTAAAAACAAAAGACGACTTTTGAAGCAGCAGCTCCAACGTCGTGAAACTCTTTGATTTACAATCTGCTCAGTCTGGTTTTTAAAAAGCAACAGAAACCAGCAATTTGAACAGACTTTAGTGCCGTTAGTGTTTGGGCCGCTGGCCGTCTGTGACTCTTTAACTGTGGCTGTTAGCCCTAGTGTTGGTAGTTAACGTCAAACTCAGCCAACATTTACAAGCAATCTCATGTTATGCACTGGAATAAAATGTCATTGCTCAGATATTTGGATTTTGGTTAATTTTCACAGAGATTCATTTAAAAAATAATAGTTTAAGACAGAGGACTGACTCATAAATCCCTAACACACCACTTAAAAAAATGGTTTGGCTTCACATTAGTATGATGTGTGAATTACCTCAGAAACAGCTGATCAAGCAGAGGCTTGGGGGCCACAGATGTGATCACAGAACCCTGGTCAAACTGGTCCAAACAACTACAGAGAAAGAGAGAGAAATGGAGAGCAAAACAAAACCACAAACCAGGCACAGAAAGAGTCAGTCAGGTGTTTCTGTGTTTCTGTTTCACAGGCCTCAATCAATTCTAACAGTGTGTACTGGTAAACAGATGCCAGTCCGACTGGTCCTCACATACTCCCCTTCTGGATTGTTATTGCATTTTGTCATTCTCAGTTCCAGGGTGGTCTTGTGACTATTAGTTTCTTCTGTACCACAAAAGAAAAAAAAAAATCATGAACCAGTTCAAAATGTATTTTATTTAAGTCCACTTTCTACCTATGGTGTACAAACAATTTTTTTAAAACTAAAGAGGAAATTCCTTATTTTTACAAAAAGGTTTTGTCACATTTCCCAAAAATATCCTTGAACTAAACGCTGATATAACCAAGTAAAACAAGCATAGAGAAATATAACATTCATAACAAAACTTGAATTATTTACTTTCAAAATAAAAGTTTGTCCTTACGACAAAATGGAACATTTTCTAAATCCCAATTTCTGCACTTTTTAGTTGTGTATTAAAAATGTTCTTGAAACTATAGCTGTAAATATCAGTTCTAATGACTTCTTACCTCAAATGTGAAATGACACAAAATTATAACGGTTTTAAATTTTGAATGAAATGCATATGCACAGCCTCCAAAGTATTATACAGATCACAGAGCAGTGGCTGCGAGATGTAATACATCATGAAAACACGCTTAAAAAAAAAACAGGATATCCAAATGCAGGGGCGTGGACTTACATGATCCATAAAATAAAGCAGAAACTTTCAGGTAGCACAGGAACTGTGTGCAGCCTGATTGGTCAAAGAACTTTTCTTACATCACTATTAATGTATGAAGGTTCCTGGTACCATCGAACCCCGGTAGTCATTGTAAACAATTAGTTCATAATAACGAAAGTTCTTAGTACTATGTTGAGGACACTATCAGCATTCTGAATTGGATTTATTGAACTTAATTTTTCCACTGTGACTCAGCAGCTCTGTTCAAAAATAATAATAAAAAAAAGACATGAAAAAAAGAGAACCAAACCTGATTTGAAGAAAAACTCCCATCTCTGTCGTCAGCAGGATTCAGAATGAGCTAACGCTGAAAACAAGTTGATGCTTCTTCTCTTACACTTTTTAATCTTAGCGCTGGCTGTCGGTCGAGGGAGAACGAGAGCGGGATCGTGAGCGAGAGCGTGAACGGGAGCGGGATGCTCTTCGTGGGGGCAGAGGAGAGGGCGACTTGCTCATTTTGGAGGAGTGCTTGCTGGGCTCCTTCGATTTTGGTGGTGAAATGCTACGGGTGGGGGAGCCGCTGCGGGAACGGGAGCGGTTGTGGGCCTTGGCTGGGCTGCGTGAGCGTTTGGGGGAGCGGGACATGGAGCGGCCACGAGAGCGGGATCTTGAGCGAGAGGAACTCTCTGATCGGGAACGACTCCTTGACCTGGAAAAGACGAGAAGGAGAAAGAATTAACGTCTGTGGAATGGGCTGCATCTGTAATTGAACCTTTACACTTAAGGAGGTTTAAAAAAAAGTGTCAAGTACTCTTCTTGAAAGTGTCTGAGTGGCACCGTAATCAAAAATCCATTCACTGTTCTCCATCCTCTCAACTACCTGCTAAGGTAACTCAATTTTCTGGAGGTAAATGCAGCACTCGTGTTATTTACACAGGGTGATATTATCTCTATGATGGTGTGAAGTGGTGGTGAATGGAAAAAGTAGCACCGGCCGAGTCAACAAGTGACAACCATCATGTGTTCATTACCAATAATGGCTTAAAAAGGAGGGAATCAGCTGCAATTATCTGACTGCTGTTAGAAAGAAAAAGCATATTGATCAAGCTGTGAATGGAGGCTCCACTCAGACACACTCACCTCTTCTTGGCTGCCTCTATCAGCTTGATTTTCCTGCCATTGATTTCCTTTCCAGACAGTTTCTCAAGGGCATTTTTCAGGTCACTGTAAGAGGCAAACTCAACCACCCTGCAGGACAAAGAGGATGAAGTCATTCAAGAGTTCTTACTCCCCTAATCAGAGTAATTACAGCAGCAGTTTTTACCACAATACTTCAAAGAAAAAGTTTGTTTTACTAGTAGCTGTCAAAACTGTAGATATGCGTGATCTCACCCTTCGTTGAGCTTGGGACGATGTGCATCTGCAAATGTCACCTCACCAGCTTGTCTCATGAAATCCTTCAAGTCCTACACACATACACATTAATGAATACACAGGCAGGCTCGGGACAGCAGCACAGACTGACATATGTAAAATGCACTGACTTGGGCAAAGTAAAGAAAGCTGGTTAGAATCTGTTGAGGACTACACAGACTACAGAGGCAAATGTGTCCAAAAAGCTCAAAGACCAAATCCATGCAATTTGTCATGTTTTTTTGTTATAATTTATTTATGTTTTTAGTAGGTGTGTGTGTGTGTTTTAGTGCCAATTGGACAAGCTAAGTATCTGCAACAGCTTTGAGATTTTTGAACCCACCGCTCAGCATATCTATAGAGAAATATATCAACACATCTTCAGGTAGACAACTGCAGTGGCGCCGCCTGGGCAGCGATTGGCACGTAGAGCCCCATTTTCCCTGACAAGGAAGGCACGGGGCTCCGCACCGGGACCGCCCCTGTCTTGGCACCCCGCCTCAGTAAAGAGAGTGAACAGGGTGGAAGAGAGGAAACTACTACCTGAGAGCGTAACCATTTGGGATGGACCCACCATACTCTTGGATAACAGCAGATTTTATCCACGGACACCTGGGAGGAATTCACACTCTTTTTTCTCCCTCTTTCTCTCTCTTTCGCGATGTGCGAACATCACAGGGGGGAAGGGACGGGGATATCAATCGATCGAAGCCCCTCAAATTACCGAACCATCGATCAACACGCCACCACCATCGACTCTCGCTCTTTCCTCTCCTTTCTCTCTGCCAAATCTGTTTCCTCTCTCTCGCTCTCAACCACACACCAGGCCGTTGCGAGTGAGGGACGGGGCCGCCACAGCGCCTCTAAGAGTGGAGCGATCGCTCACATGACCAGCAGGCGGCAACTAGGAGTAGGACAGACTGGCTGACACCACAGGCTCAACCCAGACAGAAGGACCCAGAAGGGGTTTACTCCACCATAAGCGAGCTCTTCCACATGACACAACAGTCAGGCTGGCAAATAAAGGGGTGAAGAATTGGTTAAAAAACAGGAACAGATTTAAAATCTCGTTGTTGCTGTGGTTGCTTTTACTGATGTCTGAATTATCACTTAACTGCTTGAGATTTAGAATGATGAGTGTGGCATTTTGTAACAACATTTAACAGCTTATTTGTTATCATAATTCAAACAAATTAGCAACTGTTACTGCTTATTCAAAAATGGTGGTGCTTTTTAGCTTCACTTCCTGTGCAATATATGTATATTGTTAGAGAGTGTGGGTGGTTACAACATTTATGCTGTTCTTCTTAACTGCTTTCTGCAGAAATAAATGAATGAAATGTGGTGAAACTAACCTGCCAGCTGACTCGAGATGACAAATTCTCCACAATCAGGCGGTTTTCAGTCCGCATAGGAGGAGGGTTACGACTGGAATGACAAAAAGAAAACAAAAAACATTACATTTTTGGATTAGGTTGTGAGGGCTGAGAAAGGTATCGCCTCTCATTATCTGCACACCAAAAACAATGCTAATTCAGATCAATTACGTTTTGCACAGCACATGTTCTGCACTTTATTCAAGATGTTTAACACTTCTTCTTCCAAAGGACTATATAAATAGCACTGAGAACCATTGACCATAACAGTGTAATTACTACCCTCTCATGAATACTACTACACTGTACAACTACTCATTTACATCTTCTCACATACACCTTTGTTACTGTTGTTCTCACCTCCTGCTGTTCTGAGAGCCACGACCATAGCGATCAGAAAAACGTCCTCCTCCTCCTCCACTACTACCTCCTCTGCCACGACCGCCCCTCAGACGAACGCGGGCGTGCTCAATGGTCACCCTAGTTGTAAAAGAAAGAATCCAGTGAAATTCGGAAGAAGTTTGATATAACTCAATACAAAACTGCAATCAATTAAGTTAATTAATTAAAAACATTAAAAAAAATATACCTTTCACTGCACAACTCTTTGCCATCAAGCTCATACACTGCATCTTCAGCATCTCTGGGGTCGTCAAACTCCTACAAACAAAAAACAAAACAGGTTTTATTTTACATTTAGTTGGATTGAGGCACAGCAATATTTATTAAAATGCATGCCAAAAAGGGAAGATGCATTGAAGTCTAAGGCTACACATAATCAAGTAATGATAGACATACAGAACAACTTTATAGTTGCTTTTTTATTTTGTTATTTTAAAAAAACAATTTAGTCCCTGTTATTTGATGGAATAACTGTCTTAACATATGTAAACAGGTAAGTACCGTAATGTGTAGAGACAATTTATGTTATAAAGAGAGGAACTCACCACAAACCCAAATCCTCTCTTGAGGTCGATGTCTCGGATGCGGCCGTATCCTTTAAAAAACCTCTCCACGTCCTTCTCTCTGGCGGAAGGGCTCAATCGGCCGATGAAAATACGACACCCACTCATGTTGATGCTTTGGCTTGATATGTTTCTACGGGACGGCAGCAAAATGTTTAAAGCATTTAAGAGACCGAGCATCCATTAAAACGTCTTAGGATTCACGAGGCCTGTCTTTCTACCACTGCTAGCATTTTGGTTAGCTAACAAGCTAATCAGTTAGCAACCAAACCAAGCCTATTAGTTAACCAGATTCTGTGACAAAGATAACACAGGGAACGAATAGTAAATTCTACCTAATTCAGACACGCAACACGAGTTTAAATGTTACCAAACTTACTCTTAAAGTAGCCTCTGATGTATGTCGTCGTTTTTCTTAAACTAGCTGCCGAAAGGGACGACTTCTTTCAAATCAAAATGGAGTCTGAGTGTTTTTTCATTACTGAAGAAGGCGGTGCCAACGACGCTGCAGAAAACGGAAATAACCGAACTGCAACGAACCGGTATTTCTGGTTGTGACGTAATTTGACAGCGACTGTTTATACTTTTGTTCTCCTTTCTGACCACAAGATGTCATTCAAACACAATAATACTGTTAACACATTAGTCTGTTAAAACAATAATTAACCGTAATATAAACCTTTGATGTTGTTGCGTTTAAATGCTTTAAATGTTTTTAAGTTAAAAGCTATAAAGTCGTATTTAGCATATAAAATAATAGGATATTTTTTGTCTAATAGTTCAAATACTTTATAATTTGTTTATTAAAAAATGATGTATTTTCTTTTTATCTTATTTAAGCAAGACTTAAATAAATGACACACCGTCTTACACATTCAAAAGAAAGCTTTAATTAGAAAGTTATATACACACACTGTAAAATTAAATTAAACTTTGTACAAATATTAAATTACTATCTTCACACCCACTGCCATGTACAGAGAAAAAAACAATAAAGCTGAAAGTGTTAAACATAGGATTCTGGATGTTTTTTTCATCTGCTTTTTTTAGGGGAAGCAACACCGTACAACAGTGCTTCAAAACTTAAAATTAACTCTTATTTTCCCCATCCAAATCTCATTTAGTTGTAATGCGCTGTAGCAAAAGAGAAGCAAATGTAAAATATACCATAGGTGCTTATAGTTTTATCATCATAATCATCACAGTAGTTGGAAATGGCGCAAGACGGACATTCGTTCAGTCACGTCCACGACGAAAGTAAACATATCGATGAATACACAAAGACAGATTGTATGCATAGAATAGAAAATTAAACAGGGTAAAGAGTAAGGCCATTGAGAAAAAACATGTTGCAGAACCGCAAAACAACCAACGCAGAGGCTTAAGTTCAAACAATGACAAAAGAAAATGTACAGGTCTAAGGCAACATTCTGTTTGCAAAAAAATAAGCCTGTGACAACGCAACATCCTGTCAGTTATGGGGAATAAAGTTGTTGTTTTGTGTGTGTGTGTGTTTCAAGCAGTTGAGTTCAAACAGGATCTATCTGAGTCATGCTGTTTCCATGGCGTCCAGCTCAACCACCAAAAGCTTTTCAAGTGGCAAAGAAAACAGAGGGCGACTTCCTAAAACCAAACACCACGATTCCAACTCTGCAGTAAAGGGAAAGGTTTGTGTATATGTGTGTGAGGCGGGGTGATATACTTAACAAAAACACCACATATTTCACTGCAACCAGTTGCAGTTGTGTCGATAATGCACCAAGTGGAGAGTGGTCAGTTCAGTGTGAAGGCGGGTGAGGGCCAGTGTCCTCAAAGGGGAGACTTCTTGCTGCTCAATCAGCAGAGCATGATAAAATACAGAAGCTGCAAAAAGTACATGTATAATACACACTCTGTAGTTGTACTGTGTTGCCTGTAAAGCTGGTTTGTTCATGTGATTTAATCAACATAGGGAGGGAGGACAGCAGGGAGGGACATCTTCCTACGGTGACAGACTTGAACATTGTGAACATCCCTGACACGATGATATCAGCACTGTCAGAGTTAACCACGAGGACATGTCCTGTTCTGCCTAAGTGACTGACACACACACACAGACCCACGCACGCACACTTGCACTCACTCAGATTATGCCACCTAGCGCAAACTGAGCCACACACCAAACAATAAATATGAAAACGCGAACGAACTTAAAGCAGAAATCCTGACTGTGAAACACAGAGTGCAGGTGTTTAAGGTCAGTGGAGAAAAACATGAACATTATGTCACTGACTTCCAGTTAGCACTACGTGTCCAAACTGATGGGAAAAAGACTGGCTATAACAAGAAGAGCCCATTTTTTAGATCATACTTTTCAACTTCTTACAATGCTATGCAACATGAACCGATTCATTACAAGACACCACATCCAGGTGTAAAACAAACTGTAAAAAAAAAGACTCCAGTGTTTGTGGCTAAAAGATGCAGGTCATTATAGTGTTGCGCTACCCCCTTTGGCTGCAGTACCACTGACAACCAGCAGGACTCCCTTTGGAAATTTGGAAGTTTTTTCATGTCTTTCTGCCATTTGGGCTGCTTTCCAGATTTTAGGTCATAGGGCCATGTTGTATAGCATTTGTAATGATATTTTGAGCATAAAAGAAATTAAAAGCAGTATTTAAAAAAAAACCCTCCCAATTGTTTGTCTGGTAACAGCCAAACGAGAACAACTAGAGCAGCTTGGTCTGTGTTGAACAACGCTTTAAAAACCCCTCCCAATTGTTTGTCTGTTAACAGCCAAACGAGAACAAATAGAGCAGCTTGGTCTGTGTTGAACAACATGTTCTTTGTTTAGTGACCCTTCTTGGTTAACCCCTTACAACAGGACTGTGTGTGTTTAAAGCCTGTACTTCTGCTTTAAGTCACGTCATGTCCCGTCCCCTGTTTTCAAAGACAAAGATCAAATCAGCCTTTGACACAAAACGTGACATGATTCCCTCTGCTTATACTACCAGACATGGAGCACAAGTCCTGGAAAATCACAAAACACCAATCAATCCCACTCATGCGACAGAAGCAGCACCGTCCAGATGCCAGGCACATCTGGCCACGGAAAAGACTTTTCCGTTAATCCATATGCCAGAAGCCGACCGGATAAACAGATAAGCTGAGAGAGACAGGAGGCTTCATGCTTCATTCTGACTGCGTGGTGACTGCGATAACTGGAAAAGAAAAAAACATGCAGCATTCACAAAGAGTGCCAGAGAAGAAGAAGAAGAAGAAGAAAAGAAAACACGCCCAGCCCATCATCACTCACAACTTTTCAAGTACAGAGGGAAGACCATTCTGTTTCTGAGTGCCATGGCATCAGGAGTGAACATCTCAAGTGATTTTTCTGTTTTTGTTTTGAAACATCTGTAGATATCCCAGACAGTGAATGACACCTGGGTGAAGGAGGCAGGTGTACGATAATTCAAAGCCTATAATACACAACCTTGTACTGGTATACATAAGATCTACAGGGTTTCTGCTGCGCTGGCAGCGCTTCACTGGTCAGGATTTGTCTTTAGTTTGACACTGGAGCTGGGTCCAGTGTCGCTCCATCACTACTCCAAGTGCCAGTGAAGGTCGGTTGTTGGCTTTGCTCTGCATGGTTAGCGATGGTGGTAGACAGAGGTTGCAGTGGGAGAATTGCGAATGGAATAGTTCTAGACATTTTTCGTGCCAGCTGCTGAGGGAGGGGGGGGTCGGAGAAGGGAAGTAGGTTGTCAGCCACAGTCGGTCCTGGTCAGCAGTGAGATAGAGACAGTGAGGGAGCTCTGCAGCCGATGCTGACGGAGGCCTGGCAGGCTTCATGCTTCCTTCAGCAGGGGAATATCTGCAGGGAGAGAAAAGTGTACATTAAAGCTGGGCCTGATGCAGCACTTTGTCCACCATAAAGTCACAGCATTTCCACAGTTCAATGAGCAACCCATTTTATCACCACAAAAAGTAATTAGTCACTGTAAATCTGCTGTCAATCGACAATTAAAGTTATAATCTGGGCGGAAATAAGAAACTGACATAGTGCTCAAGTTGTAGGGCTTTTGGACAAGTATAATAAAGTGGCTTCTCAGTGTACAAAGTCAGGAGGGTATCAGTACTAGATTAGACAGAACTTCAATTTTCACTGACCCAGACTTTGACCAATGAAAGTTTTCTTAGTGACGGAGCAACAGCTGGTTTAATTCTACGTAGAAACATCTGCCAGTTGTGTTTCATTTCTTTCCACACATCACATCATACGTTGATGTCACTCCATCTTACCGTCAGAAAATTCTTCTGCGGAGGTGACAGACAGCAGACTGTTCTGGTCACTGCTCTCAGAGTCTCTACGTAGAGGTAGGGGGCCTGCGCATGCACCCCCAGGGTGCTCTCTGGCCCATGACGAAGAACAGGATGATGAGGAGGAGGAAGAAGAGGACGAAGGGGCCTGGTGAACCAGCACTGTCTCTGCATGACGGCGGGAGGAGTAGGAGGATGAGGAGGAAGTGGACGGGAGACAGAAGTCTAAGTCTCTGTGGTGCCGGGTCCGGCTGGAACCTTGGCCTCCGGTGGCCCCCTGAGGAAACCCCTCGGAGAGCACGATGGGGACTCGTGACTCTAAAGAAGGTGGAGGAGGTGACGGAGAAGGAGGAGGACCCGAGGGGGCGCATGGTCCACCACTCCCGTATACCGCCTCTTCATATGAGGGAAGGCTCACCTGGACACCCTCCACCATGATGGAGCTGCCCTGGCCAGAGATCCCGCCCGTCTCCCTCCTGGAAGAAAAAGACAAAGACTGACATTAACATGGGACTGGGGTTAAAGACAGTCACATGTGTCACATTCTACTGAATAACCACAGTGGTGGTGATTTGTGCTGATGGTACAAACCATTTATAGGCGGCTGCACTCAGTTCACTGACATGACACAACTGAAACGGATTCTGTTTCTTTTAGTTCACTGACTGATAACATGTTCCTTTTTTTTCCTTAATTCCTCGGACATTCAAGGAATGCTGGATTCTATCTTTCACAACTTTGCACAACAGGTTTCACACAAAACTTGTGAGTAAAAGGTGTGTCCTTGGTACAAGGAAATGAGGAACAACACCAGGTTTGTTAATGTGTCACAGAGTGTGTGTGTGTGGGCGTTGCTTTTATGCCACTGTTGATAAAGAGTGGTTGGGTTGGTCAGGAACAGCAAAGTGAACTTGATCTTTGTAAATTTATAAACAGGACAGTGTTGCCAAAATGGAAGGCTGAGTAAAACAAAAACACAAATGTTCCAGCTCTTGATTAAAGCTAAAGCAGGATATAATATGATCCATTCACGGCTGGCTGAAAATGGAAATTGGAATAACAACTACCATGAACTCTTCTGGGGCAAAAGTGATGGAAATAAATCCATTAAGGTTCATGACTGCATTTAATGGAATATCTAAAATGATAGTAGCTGGAAATCTACTCTAAGTGTGAATGTTTATTTTTCTCTTCAGGTTGTTCTTTTTTTTAGACTTGCATTACCTTCCTCCAATAATTCTGTAAAACAAAAAAGTGACTACATTTCTGCTGCTCTCTTGCCCTTATTTGGACAGATTCCACTTCCATGGGGACAGGAAACAGGGCTAAAGATCCAAGTAAAGATATGCAACTGGGAGTTCGTCCAGCAATCGGCTGCGTGCGTCAACATGGACTAAGATATTTTTTTTTTTCATGTTCTTTAATCATCAGTGATTCATGTGCATCTTACCTGCTGTGATGAAAGGACTTGAGTTTTGGCTGTACAAGAACAAACAACACCACTAAAAGGAGGATGAGGACCACAGAGCTGGCTGTGGAGGTGACGATGGACAGGGCTGGAATACCCAGGGGTGAGCTCTGTTCTTTGACTGTGGGACACAAGAGAGAGAAGAAGAAGACGATGGTAAAGGAGGTCAGTGTCTCACTCTCATCCCTGGTCCCTGAGAGTAAACGTGATTCCAAACAGACCTTGTGTTAGTCTGCAGCTGATCTGCATGGGACCGTCCCACTCGCCATTCTGGCAGGTGAGGAACTTGTAGTCTCCCTTCAGTGCGTAGCCCTCGTCACAGAAGTACTCGATGACAGTCTTCTGGGTGAGGTGGTGGCAGGGTGAGGGGTGACAGCGGTAGCCGCCGGTCTCTGGTTCAGGT